TGTTACCCGGGGTTCGGAGACGGTCACGGTTTTACTTTGATAATATGTGGCTACGGGAGGATGTGTGCCGAGAGATTGTGGTGCAGAGTTGGACCCGGTCAGCGGGTTTGGATACTATCTCTAGAATCGGTATGTGTGCCACGAATATTGGTCGTTGGGGCCGTCAGTATAATAAGGAGTTCCAGCGGAGGATAGACCGATGTAAGAGCCAGATGGAAAGGTTGTGTATGCGGCGAGATGGGTATGGGATGAGGGGTTATGCAGCTGCGCAGAAGGAGCAGTTGTTTTTGCTAGAACAACAGAGTTTGTACTGGAAGCAGCGGGCTAAAGAGCACTGGTATAAGGGGGGCGATGTGAATAGTAGATTTTTTCATAATTCGGTAAAAGCCCGCCGGCGGAGGAATAAGGTGGTGAGGTTGCAAGATGGGGAGGGTAATTGGGTTGAAGGGGAGGAACAATTAGGAGGGTTGATGGTGGCTTATTTTGAGGAGTTGTTCTCGCCGGACTACGGGGATGTACAGGAGGTGATTGATGTTATTAAAAAAAGGGTTTCTGATGTGGATAATGCAGGGTTGTTAAGGCCGCTGAGTATGGACGAGGTCCGTGAAGCAGCTTTTCAAATGCACCCTGATAAATCGCCTGGTCCTGATGGGTTTGGTCCGGGGTTTTTTCAGCACTTTTGGGATATTGTCGGGGGAGAAGTGTGGTTATTTTGTAAGCAGTTTCTTGAGACTGCAAAATTACCTCAGAGGGCAACTGAAACTTTTATTGTGCTGGTGCCTAAGAAGCCGAGTCCGGTGTCTATGAAGGATCTTCGCCCTATAGCCCTGTGTAACGTGGTCTATAAAATCGCGGCAAAGGTATGTGCTAACAGGTTGAAACATATGTTGCATAAATTGATTTCCAGTGCGCAGAGTGCTTTTATTCCGGGGAGACTAATCTCGGATAACATAATGTTGGCATATGAGGTGCACCACTACCTGAAGAGGAAAACGCAGGGACAGAATGGTGTCGTGGCGCTGAAATTGGACATGTCCAACGCTTATGACAGGGTTGAGTGGTTGTATCTGGAGGCTGTAATGCTGAAAATGGGTTTTGCTAAGCAGTGGGTCAATTTAATGATGGAGACGGTTACATCGGTGCGTTATAGTGTGCTGTATGAGCACCGACAGTTGGGGCCTATACTACCAGGAAGGGGACTTCGTCAGGGGGACCCGCTTTCACCCTACTTGTTTCTGTTTGTAACCGAGGGGCTCAGTGCTTTGTTGGAGAAGAGAATGGCTGGGGGTGTGTTGCATGGTGTCACAGTTGCTAGAGGAGCCCCGGCGATCTCTCATCTTCTATTTGCTGATGACTACTTCTTGTTTCATCGGGCGAATTTGGATGAGAGCGTGCAGATGAGGTATGTTCTGGACACTTATTCTAAGGCTTCGGGCCAATGGGTTAATTATGATAAGTCCACTGCGTGCTTTAGTGCAAACGTTCAGCAGAATGTGCGAAATGAGGTGGTGGAGGTACTGGGGGTGGAGGAAGGGGTTACGAGTTGAAGGTATTTAGGGCTACCATCCCTAGTTGGCAGGAGAAAGAAGGAGATTCTGGGTTTCATCAAGGACCGAATACTTGCTAAGATCAGATCGTGGAGTGCAAAGCTCCTATCGAGAGTAAGAAGGGAAGTCCTGTTGAAGAATGTGATTCAGGCAATGCCCACCTTTGCAATGATGATTTTCTTGTTACCCGTGGGGCTGTGTCGAGAGATTGAGACGTTGATGAATCAGTATTGGTGGACTGGCAGTGTAGGAGGGGGTCGGGGCATCCGGTGGCGCTCTTGGGAAGGGTTGTGTAAGCCGAAAGTTTGTGGTGCTTTGGGGTACCGGAAATTGCATGAGATGAATAAAGCGTTGCTTGGGAAGCAAGCTTGGCGTTTGGTAACCAGGCCACATTCTTTGGTGGCTCGGGTTTACAAAGCGCGTTATTACCCGAGGTGTGGTTTCTTTGATGCAACGGAGGGTAGTAATCCCTCTTACATTTGGAAGGGTATTATGGCGGTACAAGGGGTGTTGAAGGAGGGGTGTAGGAGGGTCGTTGGGAATGGGGCGGACACGATAATTGGTTTGGATCCCTGGTTGCCAGATGACGACAACCCGTATGTGGAAACAGAGTTGCACCAGTCTGTCTTCGGGGCTCGTGTAACGTCTTTGTTAAATGACCAAGGTACGGGATGGGATTATGATTGTGTTAATGATATTTTTAATTCCCGTGATGCAAGATTGATTATGAATGTTCTGGTTAGTTGGCGCAGGCCTGTTGATCGGTGGACTTGGCATTGGGATCCGAAGGGGATGTATTCTGTTAAGTCATGCTACAAACGGATTACCATGGTTGCTTCGGATGATCGGCCATGGTCACGTATATGGAATTTACATGTTCCCCCTAAGGTAAAATGTTTATGTTGGCAGCTAGCTTCTGAGTTTCTTCCCACACGTGATGCATTGGCTGCGAAAAGGGTAGCTTGTTCACTTGATTGTCATATGTGTAGGCTTGCGGCCGAATCTGCGGTCCATCTTTTTGTCAACTGTGCGGAGGCCAGGCGGGTTTGGAACCTAGTGGGTGTGCCACAGCTGAATGCTTATGCAGGTGATAGTAAGTTGTGTGCTGACTCTTTGCCAAGGTTTGTAATGGTTTGTTGGGGATTGTGGACAAGCAGGAATGGAAGTGTCTGGAAGGGCAGTGTGCATAATTCAGCCTTGGTGGTGCAGCGTGCCCTAGACTTTCTGGAAGGGTGGCGTGGGGCGAATCAGGAACACCGTGTGAATGGGGCGGTGGACGCTGTGCACTGGAAGAAGTCGCGGTTGGGCAGGTTAAAATTAAATACGGATGTTTCTGTGCGGCAGGAAGATGGACGGATCGGGTTGGGTTGGGTGCTGCGGGATGATAATGGGGGGTTCTTGGCGGCTAAGAATGTGCTTGTAGCAGGAACTTATTTGGTGAAGGAAGCCGAGGCCTTGTGCGTAAGAGAAGCTCTCAGCTGGCTGAAGGCTACGGGACTAGGACGCGTGGATGTGGAGATGGACTCACAGTTGGTATGTAATGCTATTCGTTCTGTGTCTTTTAGTTCTGCTTTTGGCTATTTGGTGGATGATGTAAAGGATTTGGCATCTGAAATTGAGGATGTTGAATTCTATTTTGTTAAGCGATCTGCGAATCGTGCCGCTCACTGTGTTTCTAGGGAGGCCTTTTCTGTGTCAGGTTGCGGGGAGTGGCTGGACTCCCCTCCATCTTTTCTTGTAAACATTCTTCATTCTGATTTAATGAATTAAGTTTACTTTCTCAAAAATAATAATAATAAAGTAGACTATCACCTATAAATTTAAAATAAAAAATTAAATTAACTCTTTTCTGTGGTTAGTATCTCCATTTGAGGTTACTTCAATAATATTTAAATCTTGACTTTACCAATTTGAACATTTTGTTACTCATATTAAGCTCTCCGTTTTTTTTTTTTTTTTTTTTTTTTTTTTTTTTTTTTTTTTGAAAACAACCTCTCCGTTAGTTTCTTAGAAATCATCATTTCATTGCTCTAATAATAATTAGTCTTCATTGCTTTGAACTTTATTGATATTTCCACTTTATTGGATCTTCAATTCAATGCTTTGACTTCACTGACCCTTCCTTGTCTATCTTCATTTTCTTCTCTAAAGTGCTACTCCGGACTTTACTACCTTCACTAAGGCACTATTTGGTAAAAAATTGACCTATAGGTCAATTTTGACTTATTTAACCACTATTAATTATTTAATTTAATTAAAATATTAATATAAGTATTTGGTTAATTAGATTTTTGTAACTCTAAAATGTTAAAATTCAAAAAGCTACTCCAAACAATTTTTTCAATTAGTTTTTTCAGAAAAGAAATTATACCACACAGTTATCAACTAACAGCTAATTTATCAAACACTTTTCTAAAACAGCTAATGTTATCAACTAATTATACATTCTAATTAACACAATTAGCTAACAACTATCAGCTAATAGCCATTACCAAACAGGGTCTAAGTCAACATTATTGACTTCTGTGGACTTTGAATACTTCATTGCTTGAATACTTTATTCAACTTTACTTGAACTCTATATAAAGCATTAACTTTAAAATTTTCCAAAGATCATTTCCAATCTACTAAGTTACTTCAAATACTTACATGCATATATGATCTTTAAGAAACTTTATAACTTTGTTTAGAGAAAACCTCACTAACTGATAAACTATGTAGAATTAAAACCTTACCGGTCATAGTTATGTATTCTTGAAATATTATTTTTATGAAAATTTTGATAATATGTATTGATATACACCAGAATACAAAATGAATACTTTGTTAAATTCTTAAATACTAATTTAAAAATACACATTGAACATTGGACTATTCGCACAATGGGTGTGTGGTAACTAGTTATTCTTAAAATGAATGAAGATCTTTGGTCTAGTCTTTGATATGTCAATCATTATTCTATGAACCATGGCCCACACAGTTGTGTAGACCATGAATAAAACGTACATATTTTAAAAAAAAAACAATAAAACGTACATTTTTACTCCCTCCATCCCATTTTATGTGTCTGATTCGACCAACGTGACTTGACTGCTGTTATTTTTAATCCAATTCTTCATAATGTTAAGTTTAGTATTAGTATACAAAATTTATATATTTAGAAACTACACTAAAAGTACTATTAAACACACAAAAAAAAAAAAAAATCAAATTTAAAGATAAGTAAAAAAATACTAAAGAAAATAAACAAAGAAAAAAATAGTTAGTTTGACCAATGAATAATAAGTATGACAAATAAAATGGGATAAAGTGAGTAATATATATACTAAATATACATTATTTGTGTACTAAAAGTATATTATTTTGTATACTATTATTAATAATGTACCTTTAGTACATAAATAATACACTTTTTAGTATAAAAACGTACCATATATTCATGGTCCAAAAAAAAATAAAAAAATTACCTTGATATGTAGCAAATAGTTGAAGTGCATTCACCAAAAACGTTTGCAGGATTACAAAATGAGCGCATTAGACAAGCATATATACATATTCCCCCACTAATGTACCAAAAAATATGCCATACACGTGCACAACCATCATGCTAATATTCTACACCTTTTTTTCTTTTTTTTTTTTTTTTGGTGACAAAGGGAAACCGCAACCACTAACCGAAAGTGTGCACTGGGTACACCCGCCTTGTGACTAACCTTAGCCGTGTAACAAACTAGCAACACAATGACATGCATAAATTGGAAGGTTAACTGCTGTACATACATCTCTTTAAGCGAATAGGCATTGTCACGAACTGCCGGCAACCTAGCAACCCGAGCGGGCACTCGCTTCTTTTCTGTTATGCGTAGAGAGGAGAGGACGAGGGTCGGGGGTACGTGGTCATTCGGGCCGTCTCTGATGCAGTGCCGCGGCAGGACTTAGACGGGCCCTTTGGGCGGCTGTCTCGAGTGAGGTTCCTTTCTTTTTTATCACCCGTCGTTGAGTCCTTTGCCTCCTGTAGTTGCTCTAAGGTTTTGACCACGTCATCCATGTTTGGCCTCAACTTCGGTTCCATGCATAGGCACTGGAGTGCGAGGTTAGCTGCCTTCATAGCTTTGGTCAGTGAGTACTGGCCTTCGAGGCGGGGATCCAGGACGCGGAAAATTCTGCGTTTGTTGGTAAGATAAGGTTTTGCCCACTCCACAAGACTGTGTTCCCCAGAAGGCCGATTCTTGTCTATTGCTTTTTTACCGGATAAAATTTCTAAGAGAACGACTCCGAAGCTGTATACGTCACTCTTTGCAGTAAGATGACCTTGTTAAGAACAGAGGAGTTAAGAGATTAGAAGATTGCAATGCAATTTTCATTTCTAATACAAGTACGAAAATGCCCTCACGCCCATGCCCTTGGGTTCTGTGAGAGGAGGTAAATCACGGGATGTGCCTCAGTGAGGCAGGTCTGAGTGCTTTATTCCCCTCCCAGTGAGGATTCGAACCCACACTCAACCTTTCGACCAGTGAGCTATGCCCGGGAGCGAGGGTAAACATTAGCACTGAAATTCCCCGAGAAAACACGATAAAAGCAGCTTAAGCATTGTCAAATAACTCAATCACAAATTTTTTGCACAGAGACAAACCTGTTGATAGATACTCGGGAGCAGCATATCCATAAGTCCCCATAACCCTTGTCGAGACATGGCTCTTATCCCCTGTTGGCCCATCTCTAGCCAATCCAAAATCAGAAAGCTTCGCATTATAGTCCTGTAGCCCAATGCACAAAATTAGTGGAAATTTTTTGATAGGAGTTTAAAACGATACAAAATTATGTGTCCGAATTTTAAAAGATACCACATACCGGGTCAAGCAGGATATTAGAAGTCTTGAAGTCCCGATATATGACCTTTGTTTCAGCATTGTGAAGAAAGGCAAGCCCCTTTGCAGCACCCAGGGCAACCTTCATTCGCAGGCTCCACGTAAGAGGCTGAAAGAAGGAACCTCCTGATCGAACAAAAACGTGCACGACGTTATATAGCCATCTAGGAAATTGTTAATAACCGGGGCAAGTGTAAGCATGTAGCTTTAAGCAGATTTCCGGAACTTACTTCTAAACAGATGGTTCTCCATACTCCCCTTGGCCATGAACTCGTAAACCAAGAGCCGGTGGTCATCTTCTAAGCAATAACCAATCAACTTCACGAGATTTGGATGTCGTAGTTGCCCAAGATAGATGATTTCAGCCTGTAATTTCACAAGTTCAAAAACATCAGATCCCAGGGATGTGCCTTAGTGACGTAGGGTTTGAGTGCTTGCTTTTTGCCCCATTGAGGATTCGGACCCGAGTATTTGCTGGGTCACTACACCCACACTCAACCTTTCGACCACTGAGCTATGCCCGGGCTGCAGAAATACCATATATATATATATGTACTCACCAACCATTCCCTGTGCCCCTGCCACCCGTCTTGGTTTAACTTTTTGACGGCTATGGTCATCCCGGACCCGGGCTTTGACGCCACAAGAGTGTGCTCATCAACCCATCCTTTGAAAACAGAACCAAAACCCCCTTCCCCCAACACACTGTCGGGACGGAAGTTTCTGGTGGCCGCTTTCAGTTCACTGAAAGTGAAACTCTTCAAGTTGGAGGACTGCAAGATTTCACCCTCACTACGAGGCGTGGGTGGTACAGAAGCCGATGATAGCTTGTTCGAGTTACTCGATTCAGTCCCATTCCCACTCACATTTCTAGAATCCACCCCTACATAAAAAACAATCCTAGAATTGTCAAAAAAACTAATCATAAGAGATGAAAATGAACATCTAACAGGCTCAGTTTCCCACTCTAGTACTATATATACATCCAAAAAATTGACTATTTCTGGTTATATGAACTGTACATATCTATCTGTTCATTCTAATCTGCAGCTCTGAGGAATATAAAAGAACACTTTTTTTTTAATCTTCTTAGAGTTATTCTAATCTCTAGTAAACACCAAGCATAAAAATGCAACCAGATTACTTACTAAAGTACCAAATAAATCATCTTAAATCAGAGAAAAGGAATACAAATATATCTTGGTTAACAAACAGTCTCATAACTATTAATAGCAGAATATGAGGAAAAGATATCAGAGTTGAATTTAAGAAAAAAAAAAATACCTGAACCAACATAAAATGCAGTCTCAGCTTTGATTTGGTTGCTCAAACAAATCCCCATCACAATAAATACCTCAAGAAAAAACAAAAGATAGTAACAAAATCAAGAAATAGTCATGTATAAAGCTCAGTAAAAACCCCACAGGGCCCCTGAGCCTAGATCTAGTGTGAATCTATAGATTTATCCCTTTCAGCTCTCTCCAAAGGTTGGTTGTTAGTCTCCAACTACCCCCCCTATATCTCTCTCTCCATATATAAATATACACTAATATACCCCAACTTGTCTTGTAGGTAAGATAACCGGTGAGGAAATTGAAAAAACAAGAAAACCCAAACTTTTGAACAAAAAATTGTATCTTTCCAGTGGATTTCGGATGAGAAAACCCTTGAGACAACAAGAAGGAGAAAATAGAGTGAAGGGAATTTAAGTTCTTGGGTGTAGCCTCTTGTGGGGCTCAAGTTTCAACCTTTCTTGAAAAAGAGAACTTTTTTGGACACTTTTGTGGGAAAGAAGGAGCACAGAAGGCTGTTGACTCGCTCTTTAGCTTTATCTTTTTTCTCTTGTGACTAGCTAGTAGTAGTGGACTGTGGATACAACAATTTTGAGTGGAAAATTAGCATTTGTCAACAAAGTTGATTATTGATTTTAAGATGCTTAGGTGTTGGATTCTTGTGTCCAAATTTGGGTCCTGTTCTTATGATTAGTCAAATCTTGGCATTGTTTATGCTAAGGGCATATTATGGCATGATTATTAAAATGTCATTTTGCATGGGTTTTAAAACCATTTTTTAAAGGATATATATATATATAAAAGTTCAAATGCGGCGATGTCCTTAGGTGTGGCGGTACGACGGAATTTCATAATACACCAATAGTATAAGGTAAACACACCATAATGAAAAAATGCCAAAAAAAATACACTAATATACCCAAAAAAAAAATACACCATATAACTCACCACCTCCAATTGTGTATTTTCAAATACTGTATAGTGTTTTTACTCACACCTAATGGTGTGTTTTTGGTGATGCATACCTAATTTGTGTGTGTTTTGGGGTGCATTTTTTTAACGTTGATGATGTATATTTGTTGAACTATGATGTATATATATGTTTGTACTGTGTTTTTGGTGACTTCCTAAATATTTTTTAGAATTATTCTCATCTCTAACTCTCTAAGGTCCAATGTTGTTGAGATCTGCAATTCAAAGGTTAGGTGTACGGAATTGCTAGCTGGATGTGAATAATCATTCTAAAATCATCAAAAAAGAATTAAACAAAAAGTGTTGACATAGGAAAAAAAAAAAAAAAAAAGTAAACCAGCCTATTACTAAAAGAATAATTAAGTTGTCAATTTTTTTTTAAAATGTACTTTCCAATTAGGGGTGTCAATGTGGGCCGATACACCCCATTAGATCCGTCTCGGCAAATTATGCCCTAGACTTGTGTCCACAATGAATTGTGGACACGGGCCTAAAACGACGTCGTTTAAAAAAAAAAAAAAAAAAAAAACGCGTCATTTAGTATAAAAAAAAAAAAAAATCGCGTGTGTTTTGCCGTTAACGGCGTTATTTTTTTTTTTGGATTATGAATGTACAGTTGTGCCGTTATGAATGTACAGTTATGCAATTATGAAATTATGAACACAGAGCTCTAACATTATGAACTTACAATTATGAACATATAGTGATAAAATTATGACCATGGAGCTTTAAAATTGTGACTATAGAGCTTCGAAGATTATGAATGTACAGTTATGGAGTTATGAATCTACAGTTATGGAGTTATGAATCTGCAGTTATGGAGTTATGAATCTACAGTTATGGAGTTACGAATCTACAGTTATGGAATTATGAATGTACAGTTATTGATCGAATTATGAACAAAGAGCTCTGACATTATGAACTTACAATTATGAGCATAGAGCTCTAAAATTGTGAACATAGAGCTTCGAAAATTATGAATGTACAATTATGGAGTTATGAATGTACAGTTATGGAGTTATGAATGTACAGTTATGGAGTTATGAATGTACAGTTATGGAGTTATAAATGTACAGTTATAGAGTTATGAATGTACAGTTATGGAGTTATGAATGTACAGTTATTAACATATTGTAATAAAATTATGAACATGTACTCCTATAACGAAGCGGTCTGAAATTAAATTAAAAAAAAAAATGAGAGATAATACGGCACTGTTACCCGTGTCCAGCATGCATGCTGGACACGGGTCCATAGCATAACGATTGATCCATCTCACAGTGGGTTGTTTCGACGGACTTTTGCGAGTCAACCCATGAAGCCTGAGAGTTAAGATATACACAACCCAAAGCCTGTTCCATGCGGGCTCACGGACCCCGCGGGCCACCATCCCAATAAAATTTTTAAAAAAATAATTAAACTTTAAAATCAAATTCAAATACGGAATATATGATAATATAAATAAATGCATTCAATATTCTAAAAGTTCACACCACAAATTCACACATCCACAATCATAAAAATTCAAAACACATCAACAAAATAAACACATTATATTACACATAGTAATATACTAATATAGTGTCTGAAAATCCAAACATAACAAGTTAACGAGTAACAACAATATAATTATATATCTTCAAATTAATCCATTCTTCAAGTCTTCAAATTAGTGTCTAAGTAATGATAGTCGCCGTTAAAAACTCGGATGGAATTGGGAGGATTTCTTCAACACAACAACACATCACCATCATCTATACATGATACATCAATTAAAATAATTAAAACATAATAACCATAATAATTAAATAAAATTAAAAATTTTAAAGTAAAATATTATGATTTACTATAGCAAAATCAAAATTTTGTTAATTTTGATTTTTCAACTAAATATAATAACAAACCTCCGTTTAATATAAGAACGAAATGCTTAGTGTGGTAAAAATATGCGGGGTAAATAGCATTACTCAAACAGAAAACATAAAAAACATGGAATGAAAAAAGTAAAAAATCGAGGTAAACATGCTTCTCCATTGCCTAATTTCTTTCTTGCACCAGATTGAATTTTTTTACCTTAACCGTGACGTTACTCAATTATTGCTACAAAGTAGAAGTAATGCACCATTTCAAAACTATCAAATTCTACATTTTAATTTTTAAGTATACATTTTATCCTCTTTTACTCTAAATAAATCAAAATTTGATACAGATACCAATTTGTGCCTCATTTACCTCCGGGGGATTGACAATTTATTTTATTTTATGTATATTTTAAGAGGTCTAGTCAACTAAAGTAACACTCAATTAACACATCATTAGCCCCAAATTAGATATATTATTTAGGGCTGTTTGGTTCAGATCATCTTAGATTACCTAGGTAATGGTAATGTTATATTACCATTGACAGGATAATGGTGCTGGCACCCGACCCGAATCATAAGCAGCATCTGACCCGACACCACATGGAATGGTGCTGGCACCCGACCCGGATCATAAGCAGCATCTGACCCGACACCACATGGAAACCCAACGAGCAAAACTCCAACGGGCAGAATTCCAACGGCTGTCACCTTTACTGCCATTGAAGCCACCATTGATGTCACCATTGATGAGAGAGAATTAAAGGCTTAGCTCCTCATTTATGCTCCATGTTGTTACCTGATGGTTTTAGGGTTTTCAGGCCCAAGGAGGTCCAACACAACCTTCGGCTGGTGGGTGCACCTTTTAATGAAATGTATGACTATTTCCGAGTTTATGCTAGTACTTGGAACTTTTTGGTATTCTCCCCTCCTTGGGTGTTTAATTGTCCCCCTTTTTACAAGAATGGAGGAGCCTTTATATAGTGGCTCCTCCTCTACCGACTTGAAGGCCTTTGATGGCCGACTTCATGGCTAATTAAGATACGGAGCCGTTGGACGCCATTACTCGGTCGACCAACGGCTCTCCCAGGCTTGTAACGACCTGACCGTGTCCGGCTTTTCAATGTCTCAACGGCTCCCTTTTTAAACGAGCCTCTTCAATGCTCTCAACGGCTCCTTGAGCCGAGTCCTTTCCTGGGCTTGGGCCTTGGTCGACTCCTTGTCTCGGCCTAAGCTCCTACTGGACTCCTCTTGGCAGCTCGGAATTGGGCCCCATGCTTGGGCCTGGGCCGACTCTCGGACTCGGCCCAATTGCTCTTCGGGCTCCTCTCGATGCTGGCCCATTTCTCCTATCTATTTTCTTTGGGCCCCTATACCTTGGGCCGGGGTCCTCACCCCATCAACTAGTCCCTCACTTTTCCACACCCGGTCCGCTAACCTGGGTTTGGAAAAGTAGCAACTGTTCGTCCCTCCCAATCATCGTATCTTCGTTCTTAAATTTCTTTTGGTAACGTCCGGATCCTCAGCCATCTCCTCCGGATCTCGCGGGGCCGTTTGGATTCTTCCGTCTAAACTTGGACCCTATAAATGGCGTCCTTCCTTTTCTTTCACCTTCTCAAGTCTATCATGGGTCGTTCTAATCTGAAAGGAAAACGGATTGACTTCGGGTCTCCTTGGCGTCCGCTGCCCTCTAAGCGGACTCGGCCTGAACGAGAACACGGGAAGAAGACTCCTCGCCCAGCCCCTCAGAGGTCTCCTGCCGGCGCTATGTCCTCAGCCTCTCAGCCGCCGACTCCTTCTCGACGCGAGGTCACCCCGCCATCACGCCATCCGCCTACTCCCACAACCGCCCGAGTGACTTCTCAAGACGGGTCCTTTGTTGAGGTGGCGGTTCCGGAGCAACTTACTTTCAAGATGACCTTCTCGATTCCGCTGGATGACCTGGACGGGCCGGTTACGGGCCTGATGAATGATGAGGATTACGCCCGCTACCTGGAGGTGTATCCGGATGACGAGGAGCCGATTGCGCCACCACTCATGCCAGCTTTCTGGGACTCGTTCTGCCCATCCCCGCCTGGACCATCGGGGGGGTTCTTTGGGGGCGACTCCTCCTCGCCTGGCGAGTGATCGTATGTACCGGAGTCGGTCATAGTTCGGAGGGATTTCTTTTTAGGAGCATTTTCATATTTCCCATTGTAATAAGCTCCTTGCCATGTGTATCCTCCTTTTTGCAATAATAATAAATGCTATCCTTGCCTTATGTCTTGTCGTGTTCTATCACGTACTCATCTGGACGACCGGTCAAGGGGTCGGTCACGTCATCGAAATCTTTTCGGTCTGACACCTGCAAGATTCCCCATATCCTGGGCGAATCCACTTTTTCCTGCATTGGCGTGCGAATCTCGCTCTTCTCGAGCGGATCTGATGGAACTAATCTCTGACAGAGATTCGCGTCATCCGTCTAATCCGGCTCAGTTATGTCAGTTATAATCTCCTCCGCGATCACCGCCTAGGTATTTGCCTTTGCTGGGCTATATAAAGGCCCTTTACAGCTGACGCAAATCGCAACATTCTCCCCTTCGCGAAGGTACGGCGCTATGAGTTATAGGGATGGTGATCGCCGATGGTCCATTCGTAACAAGGAGCATGCTCGTCTTGAACAACTGAGGCAGAAAAGGTTGGCTAACGGGGGCCGTTTG